GGATGAACAACTGTTTCTTTCCCCATGTCATTGTTAGACACCTCTGCTCAACACCCTCCAACCTCTAGCCAGAGTAATCTATATCCCATTTGTAGAAAGCCACTCACCCTCTCTTTCCTTGGAGCCTTTTGAACATACTGCTACTTTTGTCTGGAATGCCCTTTGCACCAGCCTCTTCATTTGGCTAAATCTTTCAAAGCTCAGATCAGGAATTAGAGTTAAGAGGCCAAAGAAATGAGGAAAGTAGTGACATGAAGCAAGGAAGGCCTCGGACAGTTTAAGGCTAACGTAGAGAACAAAAGTTCTGACCTACAACATAACCTTATTCTAGTTCAATGCAAAGGAAGAAAAAAGCAAGATTAGCAAATGCAATGTTTCATTTGCCAAACCTCAACTCTGTCAAAACCTTTTGTTTAGATGTATATGTGTATACGCACATGCTTTGGGGAAGACAGGGTAGCAGCCTAGGCAGAAACCTGAATAAGGAAGGGAATTACTGGGGCTTCCGGGTAGTTCGGTCAGATAAGCCGCAGAGTCTTGATTTTGGCTCAGGTCATGATTTCATGGTTCATGAGACTGAGCCCTTCATCAGGCTCTGTGCTAACAGTGCAGAGCCTATATGGGATTCTCTCTCTCTCCTTCTCTCTCTGCCTCTTGCCTGCTGACTTTCTCTCTCTCAAAATAAATGTTAAATAAATAAAAATTTTTTAAAAGGAAAGGAATTGTTATCCCTCCCCATTCCCACCCTCTCCTACTAAAGCAGAAGACCGCAGAGACCCCCTCAGTGTGGCCTTCAGACTAAAGAAGAGATGCACCTGGAAAACAATGACCCAGATTCTCCTTCCATCCCCTATCTTCACAGAGAGCAACAACCAACACACCCTGTGGCCCAAAAGCTATTACATTTTTTAAATTTATTTATTTATTCATTTATTTTTTAAGTAAGCTGTATGCCCAATGTGGAGCTTGAATTCACAACCCCAAGATCAAGAGTCACGGGCTCTAATGGCTGAGCCAGCCAGGCGCCCCAAGAACTATAACATTTTTACTTCTGGACTATAAAATACAATGGTCTGACACCTCCAAAGTCCTCAGTAAATATTTGTTGAATGGACAGACAAACAGAAAGTAAATAGACAACATGGACAAAATGTTGATGGCTACTGAAGGTAGGTAATGAGTTTGAAATGTTCCAAAATAAAAACTTTTTTTTAATGTAATAAAATCCAAATTCAAGTTATGTATAAAGTATATTTAGTAAACAGTAAATGGTAGCTAGTAAATAGAAAGTATACAAGATATCCCTCATTTCTGAATAATAATAATAATGATAATAATAATATCCGAGTTTTAGAGAACTAAGTAAGATCACGTGGGTTTAAGTTCAGCATACAACCTGGAACATGGTAAATATATGACAAATACAAACTTTTTTGAGGGGGGGGGGAAACAGGCAGGAGGTTGGGGGGGCAGGAGAAGGGGCAGAGGAGAAAAGAGAGGGAGAGAGAGACAGACAGAGAGAGAGAGAGAGAGAGAGAGAGAGAGAGAGAGAGACCCTTAAGCAGGCTCCATGCTCAGCAGGGAGTCTGACAAGGAGCCCAATGCAAAGCCCGATCCCATGATCCTGGGATCATGACCTGAGCTGAAATCAAGAATCTGACACTCATTCGACTGAGCCACCCAGATGCCCTGCAAACTCTTTTTATTATTGGCTGATCTTGGCTTTTAGCCCTGCAGTCAACAGAATCTATGACCATTAAACTAAATGCTAGAGAACAGGAGATCTCCCTCTAACGTTTCCCAGCGTCTTTATGAAGCAGTGGTTACTTAACAAAGTTTAGGTGTTTTGAATATAATGAAACCCCAATTAGTTGAAAGCGGTTACCTTTTCTGAGGTAGTGAGAATCTCTGAAGGGCAAGATATACCTGACCTTACTAATCTATTTTCCACGGATCCTTCGTCCTGCCTCCCCACCACCACCCAGACGATACACAATTTCTCTGGTATCCTAGGAGCTAGTAAAGACTCAAAAAAAGCCACTGACAAGCAAGCTGTCTTCATACAAACAGGACTGAGTAGATGTTCTAGCGAACAGCTGGAGGTAGTAGGGGTTGTAATAACTCGTTCCAGGAAGGATCAGGAAACAGAGGGGAAGGTACTAAGCTGAGATCCTTTTCATCCTCACTTCTTAGTCCCTTATCACAACTGGAAAAGTGTACATCCAAAAGTTCTGGACATTTGTCAAGGAGCCCAAAGAGGGTGAGGCAAAACCTCCTCCAATCTCCTGGATGGAAACAGAACCAATTAGGAATTTCCCTATGAGTCATGGCAGCATTTGACATACAACCACGGTTATACCTGTTATAATTTTTGTTGCTCAAAGGCACTTCTGCAGTCTAAAATGTAGAGAATATGATTAAATCTTCCTGTGACTGCCTGGGAGTCTTGCCCAGCCTCAAGGCTATTATTCTGAGCTTTGGTTCTTGCTGCACTTAACTGTCGACGGAGAAGAAAGTAAGAAGATGGCAGCTGCATATATCATTGAGCCTAGAAAATACCTTAGAAGCCAGTAATTTGAATTATTCCTGACAGAAACTCATTATTAAATCTACACATCTTTAAAAATAAAATCATGGGGCGCCTGGGTGGCTCAGTCGGTTAAGCATCCGACTTCAGCTCAGGTCATGATCTCACAGTCTGTGAGCTTGAGCCCTGCGTCCGGCTCTGTGCTGACAGCTCGGAGCCTGGAGCCTACTTCAGATTCTGTGTCTCCCTCTCTCTGACCCTCCCCCATTCATGCTCTGTCTTTCTCTGTCTCAAAAATAAATAAACATTTAAAAATAAATAAGTAAATAAAAATAAAAATAAAATCATAACTAATGAATGGCTCATTTTCTTTCTTTCACAAGAGCACATAATTGGGTGGTACATTTGCACATTTTTCTAGTTAGGTCTTTTCAATTATTTAAATGATTGTATTCTAATATTATGAATAAAAATGACGGGGTGAGGGGAACGAGAAAAGGTAAGGAATATCCATTTGACTTGAGTTATTTTTAATCAATGTTTCTTTAGCGCTATTGAAACAATTTCTTTCATGTAGGGAATTGCAGATTTTAAAATAATAATAATAAGATCCTAATGTGAGAGAAACATTTTTACATAAATAATGATATATTACCTAGAGTCTCATGTGAAAATTTCAAGTATAATAGGTATAGAAAATAATACATGCAACTTAGATACTTTTATTAATTTTAAATAAATAATATTCTAATAGTCCGATTCTAGGCTGAGAACACTAAATCTGACAATAGAGAAAACACAATCAAATGTATGGTTAAGCAAGACATTTCGAAAGAAATGTTAGTAATTTAATAATAAAGGCTACTATTTAGCAAGTATTTACTCTGTTCCAGGCATATTGCCTACTTCTTTATGTATTTTGCTTTAATCTTCTCAATAATGCTATGAAGAGGGTGCTTTTACTTCCCATTTTTGAAAAAAGAATGGAAACTCAATGTGATTTAATAACTTGCTAAAAGTCACATAGCTAGTTAGTAGCCTATGATTTGAAAAAGTTTTATTCCAAAGTCTATGTGTTCATAGTGTCCACAAGCCTTACATGTTCCACAAGGACAGGGACCAATATATGTTGTTCTCCACTGGCACGTATTATGTGTTCAATAGATATCAGTGAATGATGCTGTAACTAAAAGCCAAAAGAGAAACATGTACATTTGTAAACTCACACATTATTGTAGTATTTTTTAAATTGTCCATTTATATTCATTATGTAAGTTTGTTTTCAAGGAGGACCAAGGCCCCTTCCCCATTTGAAAGGCTGCACTTTGTCAACTAACATGATTTTGTGGCTGAGGTGTTATTTTGAAATATTAACTTTTCTCCCCAGTTTCTCCTCCCCCTTTCTCTCCACAACTCTGCCCCCATTTCAGGACTTGGTTCTGTGGCATTGCCTCAAGAAAATACACCATAAAGAGCAGAAATACCAGTAAATCTTTCAGAGTTTTACTTTTAATAGCCCAGATGGCCACTAACCAGGAATAGATCATGAGAACAGAGACATCCCAGCACAGTCCATGAGAACTGATAACTGACTCCTTGCTCACCAGACCTCAGGTCCTTTTAACGCAGACCCTTCTCATCTGTGACAGTGAGAGAAAGAGGAAGGGAGTCCAGGAAGGCTTCAGGCCAATTATTTTCCCACCAACATGGCATGGGCTCACTTCACACACGGATCTGTGGACTTAGATTCATAGTTACTACAACTATTTCCCCATGTATTCCTCTTAGGAGTCAACCACACACCTTCCATTTTAAGCCCTTAAAAAGCTACCAACTTTTCTCTTTCAATTTGTTAAAAAACAAAATTCAGAAAATTGGTAAAGACAAGAATGTACGTACCCCGACTCCATTCTTTGATAAATTATACAAAAAGCAAATTAAGGCAAGAAATATTGATATCCAAAGCTCACAAGAAGAAACCTATGAAATTTAATACACCACCCCATAGAAAATACACCAACTCTCCATCTGTAATGAAAAATCAAGGCTTTACTTTGTGTTTTGTAACTAGCCACTGTAATTTTAAAAAGAGAAGGCCGAACCACTTTACTAAACCACAGGAAACAAAAACTCCCAGTACACTCTGGAAGGATGTCCTGGCCAATCCGGTTGCCAGAGGAGACCTTACCCGGGACAGGGGGCGTGCAGCATTTAGTTCGACCTCCCTTCATTGAAGACGCTTTAGAAAATTCTCCAATGAGAGACGCTTAGAGGAAGTAGGGCGTGGTCTCAAGGGGCGGAGAATTTGACTCTGATGGGAAGTGTGTGCTGATTGGCTAGACTTCTTCCTCCACAGACCAGCCCTCTTTGGACCGCTGGGGCCATCCATCAAAGGAGCTACACCAATCAGGGGCGAAAATTTCCCCCTCCCCCTCCCGACTCGGGAAAGCCCCGCCCTCCAATATATTACTCGGGCAGTCAGGCGCGGCCCCTTCGGCTCCGAGCTGACTCTGTGGTGGGCAGTGTCGTCTGGGCGGCGCTGCGGAGACCTCCACCCAGGACGGCTCCCCCTCCCCGGGCCACTCACCTCTTACCCGCGAGTCCTCTCGCCTCGTGGGCTTGTCGGATCTGATATCCTGGGGTGAGGTGAGAGCAGGCCCGGGGAGGGAGGTTACCACCGAGGAGCCGCAGTCGCGGTCAAGGTGAGCTGGGACTTCGGGGTTGACTTCGTGGTGCAGCTAGGTAGCAGGGTTGGGGGCGTAGGGTGAGGGGTAAGTTCGGCCCGCGCCCTTTTTCTCAGTTAACTCTCCCGCTGCTGTAAGCAACAAGTCCAGGCTAGTTCGAGCTTGGAGGGGCGGGGCCAGACCCGACCTCCTGAGAAGTATTAACGCCAGGTTGGCCAGGCCCCAGGGACCAGCCCAGGGCTAAAAGAGCTGGACCCATAAAGTTAGTGGTTCCTCATCTGCGTCCGTCGCCCCACTTTAAAGATCCCCCTGCCTCCCTGTCTTTCAGTTGGTGTATGGGAGGTAGCCCTGTATCCGGGGCTTAGTTGTGGCCAGGACATAGTAGCTGTGGAATACCGGATTTTAAATTAATGAAACTCCTAAATTCATTTTGCAACTAAATTAGCCTCCTGCCCTCACTCCGTGTTCCCATAGCACCCTTTAAGCTTCCTTTCCTGACACCAATAACAGTTATCAATTATTGAGCGCTGTGTGTTACGCACTGTGCAAAACTCCAGGTGAATCATCTTAATAGCCATTCAGAGACCAATATTGTTACCTCGTTTTACAGACGTAAAAATAAGTTATTATTGTCCCGTGTTTACTAGGTACTTACTATAGGTGCTAAGCACTATACCTAGGTGATTTCATTTTTCCACACAAGCCTATGAGGTAGGTAATAATAGTCATACCCACTTTACAGATGAGGCACTAGAGATTAAGTAAAATTAACATTAACAGTTCCTTGTTGCTAATATATAGCAGAATACATACTACCATCTAATTTCACCCTTGCAGCATCGATATTCATAGTTATTTCTTGACAGTGAATGGCTTGAACAAGAATTTCTTGAAGGTTTGCAAATTTTTTAAGGCACAGCTCCCACCCTGTAGAAAACTCACAATTTGGGATGTGACCAACTGGTGGGATGGGGTTGGGGGTAACAGATGGCACTTTGCAAGGACTTAGATTCACTAGCAGCTTTGGGGGAGGGGAGACTTGAGTAAAAACTGCTTGGCTTTCTGTTGAAGGCAGGAAGGGCTTTTCTTAACACTCCTTTCTGTGCCTTGTTCTATATATAGATGATAGAGGTACTGACAACAACTGACTCTCAGAAACTGCTACACCAGCTGAATGCCCTGTTGGAACAGGAGTCGAGATGTCAGCCAAAGGTCTGCGGCTTGAGACTAATCGAATCTGCACACGATAATGGCCTCAGAATGACTGCAAGGCTAAGGGACTTTGAAGTAAAAGATCTTCTTAGTCTAACTCAGTTCTTTGGCTTCGACACGGAGACATTTTCTCTAGCTGTGAATTTACTGGACAGATTCCTGTCCAAAATGAAGGTATGTTTAAAGCTACATTACACAGAGTATTTCTTAATTTTGCTCAGTGTGTTTTGGAGATGGAATAGCTAGCTTTGGGCTGGTATTCATAAACTTGACCTTTTTATATTCATCAAGTAGCCAAAACATTGTGATGATTCTGTGTGCTACAGCATTGATGAATACTCTTCCTTAGAATCAAGAGGAATGCATCATTAGATTTAACTTCTGACATTGAAAAACAACCTAATAAATAATTGCAGACTCTCCCAGTATGAGAGGTGGCTGTTGTTTTTTAAAAATTTTTGGTTGGGCATTTTCATTTATTTACTGTTGTTTTTAAATTTAAAGAAATTTGTTAGAGACCGAATGCTAGGTTGTGGTTAAGAATTAGAGGTTTGGGGCACTGGGGTGCCTCAGTAGGTTAAGCGTCTGACTCTTGATCTCAACTCAGGGCTTGATCTCAGGGTCAGGAGTTCATGCCCCAAGCTGGGCTCCATGCTGGGCGTGAAGCCTACTTAAGAGAGTTTTTTTGCTGTTTTTGTTGTTTTTGTTTTTTTGATGCTGTGAACCACTTGGTCAATAGAGTATCTTAATTTCTAGTCATATATAAAGTTATAATTGTTTTAGCCCTAGACCTATTCAGATCTTGCTTATAATTGCCATTTCCAACATCAGTTTGCATACAGTAGGGAAGACAGTATCTTTTGAAGGAGGAACACATATGTAATTATTTCCCTATACTGGATAAGTGGACATCCATGTAACTTTCAGATCTTGCTTAACTGTTAAAAATATATCTGCCTTCTCTGTGCCCATGGTCATTAGTGAATGAGATGATACAGCAACTGGAATGAAACTCATCTTTTAGTCCTTCACAACACATCATATACAGAAAGAACTCAGTATTTGCTGAATTGGATGGTTCAAAAAACTTGCTCAGACAGACTATAGTGTAATTAGTCTTTGGACACTACCTTTGAATCTATAAATGTTGCACAGATTAATAATACACATCTGTCCCTTAAAAATATTATAATCTTATGGGAGAATGTTTGCGCCAATAACTATTATACAATGCAAAGTATAATAAAATTAAACATCTAAAGAGGAATAAATATATTAGAGGGGTTCCAAGAAAAGAAGGGTACAAACACTGGTACAAGCTTCTTAAAGTTTAGTTTAAGCTGGAATTTAGGGTGGATAGAAGCTTGACACTGTTACATTGTCGGTATTCTGGAAAGAATAAATAAAAGACTGGGAGTGGGTAAAGCTTTAGAAGCAGAATAAACAGTGTGTGCTAAAGTATTTAAAAACTATTTTACACATTACATAAAGAAAACAGCCTGGAAAAACACATCATCCTAGAAAGAAATTTTGTGCATAAACTGTAAAGGTGTTTCAGTCCTCACAGAAGCCTTTGACCAGTTAATTATTTGGCCCAACTAGAACACAGTGCTGACAGTTCTACAGTGAGTTACAAAGGGGGAAAAAAAAGTTTCATATGGGCTGAAGCCAAACATTACACTGAAACTTAGTCCACTTTCTCCAAAATTGGTTCCAAGTAGGTACATAGCATTGACCGGCTGCAGCTGAAGTATGATTGGATATTGTTAGGTCCTTCACAGTTGAAAAATAAACCTCAAGGATACATTGTCATAATGATGGGTCTGAGTTCTATATTATCCTTTATGGTTTTTTTAACTGAAATAAGCTAAAGAAATGGGCTTACTGTCTTTTTAGGTACAGCCCAAACACCTTGGGTGTGTTGGGCTGAGCTGCTTCTATCTGGCTGTAAAATCAATAGAAGAGGAAAGGAATGTCCCATTGGCAACTGACTTGATCCGAATAAGCCAGTATAGGTTCACAGTTTCAGATTTGATGAGAATGGAAAAGATTGTATTGGAGAAGGTGTGTTGGAAAGTCAAAGCTACTACTGCCTTTCAATTTCTGC